TTATTTGCGACAGAGTGGTGCAAAAAATAACTTTCTCAGTCTGTGCCAGTATTCAGATGTATATCGGCAAAAGCATGTATAATTTAGTTTTTACCGTACCAAATTTGGCTACTCCGTACTCGTTTCGTTTTCTCTAGTAATGTTACATGATCCGGGGTTCAATTATATAATTCGAATTATTAAAAATAAGAGAAAGTAGTATTTAGTGTTTACGAACAAGGAAACAAAAAAAAACATTCCCATTTTGTTTACAGCACGACGTCAAAAGTAAAAGTCAATCTACACAAATGGAAAAAAAATGATTCGTGACCGTTAATATATTGTCAAAACATATATCAATTCATGTTGATAAGTACTGCAAAAAAGACTATTTTAGTTTTAAGTGGGCACAGAAATGCTGAGTCACAAGGTGTTATCATAGTAATAAAACACGCAGGTCACTATTTACTTAATTGCGTTGCTGGCATTGTCACGGTGCATACACGGAACTGAGGTGGAAGCCATTTTATTTGGCCGTGACACAGAGTCAATCGGTGCTAAAACCATTCAATTATATGTATATAGATATCGCCAATTGAAATAAGAATTGGATCACGTCATACTACAAAACAGAATGCAGTAAATATAAGCCTGAGTAAGACGAAATGTACACAGAACCTACTGGTCACATGACGACCGTTCCCGGTAAACAAACACTAACTTGGGGCACAAAAAATGGAAGGTCTTACGACCGTGACTACAAAAGAACCCTGCGATGAGACGACTCAACTAGAATATTTACCACTTGAGGCGGTAGTTCGGTGTCCTTTTCCTTTTTCAAGTCGTCATCTTTTTTCACGTGTTCTGCCGAGTATACAGATGGTTTTACCATGTTTCAGTTTGTCCACACTCAATATACCATGAAAATGTTGGAGTCAGAATCCTGGCCCAGATATTACTTGCTTGAATAAAAATAAAAGTAATGGCGTCATTCGTGTTGTCGGGCGATTCTATCTTTTTAGTAGGTAGTGTCGAGGGTGTGATTTATGAGTGCAAACAAAGTGATGACACGTGCTTCGACATACATATAGAGTTATTAATCATTATGTCATGTTATATTAGCAGTTGTAGTAGTAGTATTTCGCATTGGAGAAGTTATGTTAATCCACATTTGTTTACTTCCTCTGGAGAACGGAAAAAAAGTCTTGGGAAAAGTCTATCAAACAATAGTGGTATTATTACGCTAATAAGGCGGCGTCACTTGTACAGCCACAGTCCCTCTATCATAGAGGGACTGTGGTACAGCCATAACCTGACAAGGTCGCGTGAGTTGCGCCCTCCGCAGTGCTCCAAACTCAGCACAGATGCCGCTCGGCCGACGAGGGCGCCACTCACGCCTACATGTCAGGCTAGTAAAACCATGGAAGTCACACACAAAAAAAAAACACAGTAAAAAAATCATGAAAAAAAAGTAACACACCCGTATTTTGTAGTTCCGAGACTACACCAAGTGTGTGCTAAGAATAATTTTATATTAGACCCGCACGGGAGGAAGCAACGGCTATCACGTACGGGCTAAGGGCGTTTTTTGTTGACCATTTGTTCAAATACTGAAAATAATGCCAACAATATGTTCTAATCGCGAAATCGGTTTGAATTTACTAGCCTGCAGTGCCTCTCTAAATCAGTCGGATATCAAATGTAAAACATTTGTGAGTCAGAGCGCAGTCCCTGTGGTCAGAGGGTTTTTTTCTTTGATTTTTTTATCGTGAAGTTTGTGCTGTGATTTTTTCCTATGTCCTTGTTTTCCCCTTTGGCTTGTTCGTTCGAACTCCCTGAACCTCCGCCAAGGAGAATATGTTTTCGGTAGCGTTGGTTTGTTTAAATTGTTTGTTTATTTGTCTGTTAGTAGGATAACTCTAAAAACTAACGATGGATTCTTGTAATTTTTCTGGAATGGTTACCATTTACATAAGGACGAACCTATTAAATTTTGCCATGGAAACAAGTACGGCAATTACTTTTAGTTCAGTATAACTTATGGGCGGATTTTCTTAAAATTGCTAGCAGAGCTGGGTTACATTTGATAAAATGAATCATTCGTTAAATCTTGGTATAAATGCGGACCCACCGGTCACTGGCAGAGTCTCGGTCGCCTTAATGATAAATAAAACCACAAATTATTCATAAATAAACAAAAATAACAATAAACAAATATAGGAATTGGAGTCAATACCTACAACAGATTTTAATCATATACAAAGGTAGCGATCACGAGAACTGAATGTCAGTAAAATCATTTTATATGGCTTCATCTGAACTACGCTAAAAGCAAATCAAAGCGACGTTTTATGGTTTCCCTCAGATGATTTTGACTGATGGCAAACATATAATACTATCCTGAAGGAAATAAAACACTGAATCTAAAAAGCGTTCGAAATTATCAAACCACTAAAAGAATATCGTATATAAACAACGAACAACGGTGTGGGTCTGTAGCATAATTTGTTACGTCACTATTTTTGACTGGTTTCAAGTTAGGAGGGTGCATCGCTACTCAGACTATTAGTAGCCGGTCTTCTACTTTAATTAGTGAAACACAATTAATTACTATGTAATTAAAGGGCGAAAATTAAAAAAAACACCCTCATAAAATATAGTGTTATTTTCGTTTTGCAAGTTTCCAACGAGTGATTGCAAAGTCGCTCTTTAAATGTTCCAAGGGAAACTGACAGGTAGTTAACGGTATATACATGTATGATCGTGTTTTTTGGGGGGAATTACTTCACGAACGTAAACTAAACTCACGACTTCCATCAGTCATTGTCAGGTGTGGCAGCGTCTATACAGACGACAAGGGGTTCCATTTTGTATTAATGTACTAATTTATAGGAAGGATGCAGAAACACCTAAAATGTCACGCGATCTGCCCGTGACCCTGGTTTAAATAGAATCATAATAAAATGGTGAGTCGAAAAAGATATGAACTTTAGAAAGCATGTGTTCAGTCACAAGGACTGTTGTTCAGTCTAGCCGGCCGAACGACATCAAACCCCGCTTGTGTTTAATAGGACCGTGTTTAGTCTAGAGGTATAGAAAACACCACACAGGGACCGGTCGTTCTGACATCGCCATAAAATCATTTCGAATTGCGATAGCTATACAAAATTTAAACACGTTTTATACAGAGTAAGTGCATTTATTCAACCGTACAATAAAATATACATTGCATATATATAAAGTAATTGAACGCATACCACGTGTTTCCAATTGGTCAGACTCTACAACCATGCGTGTTATATTTACATATTAATTCAAGGCACGACGGAACTGCACTCGTTAATGTAGTGTGAAGTGTGCAATTAATCACAAAAAAAGCAATAACTACATGAC